CCTGGGAGACAGCACGTGAAGTTGCGGTTGTGTGGCATGCAGATCTTTACTGTGTGTCCTTTCCTTTGAGATGTGAGCTATGGGCTTCAGGGTGTGGGCCCGCCGACTGTGTAGCTTTGATCTACCTTGCAGCAGGCTTGCTCTGGCCGCTGGGTTGAATGGTGTATGCCGTTACACGCATGGCCTTTCTTGTTTTATTAGCTGTAGGTCATGGGAACAAAGTGAGGCATAAGGACTCAAGTTTGGGCAGATGTGGGAGCAGTAATGATCTGTTCATGGATTTAAAAGTGATTTCCAAAATGCCAACTTACCAGTTCTTATTTTGTCTTTGTGAAACAGGAGAGCTGAAACCAGTTGTAGTTCATCTGGAAGATGTTACATTTCTTCCATCTTCACTTCATTTCAGATGCACATGTTAATGTGAACCTAATGTAGTTTTAACCTCAGCTAACTCATTTTTATGCCCAGCAGTAATTTTGGAATGGGAATGACATTGGTCTTCAATTCTACTCTTGTTCTTTCCCCTCCTGTGGAGCCTCATTCACTGTCGTTTGGATTCCTTTGATGCCTTCACTCTGAATTTACTCCCCTTTTTGGTTCCTGTGCACCTGCCCCCTCAGCAGTGTGTGCATTTACATTGCAGGGCTCTCAGCCTTCGACTCACCTCCTACTCTGGTTAGTCAGCACCAGGCTCCCCAGGTTCTAGGAAAGCTGTAGTCCCATTTTGATTGGATTCCTGTCAAGTTGATACCAGGTGATAGAGTTGTGTTTAGGGCTGATGGGCAGTTTTCTTTGTCGTTGTTAATCAAGTCCTTAACTCCTGCAGAGTGTTCCTGCTGTCTGTCAGTACTGAAGCCCACACCTGTCTACCCCACACGTGAGGTTGATTTCCCTTTGAGGAAAAAGACTGAGACCATTTACAGGATGCCCTCAACCTTCCTGACCCTTCTGGAAATGTATTCCCTGTAGTAATACTACCTTTCTGATTCTGTCTTTCCATAGTTATGGTAAGGAATTAAATTTTGTTTTCACTAATTTAGATACCACACATTCTGTTGTCTGTTGTATTGAACAGTACAGCTGTAGATCTTGCATCATCCCTCATTGTTTCTTGAACCTCTGGCCATGCTTGTCAATAGACTTGAAGTAGGTTCACATTTAAATAAGTTTATTACTTAATACAGTAAGACCATCTGCCATTTCTTTTTAGGCTGTCTGCCTTTTCATGACACTTGATTGGTCTGACTTTAGTTCTTGTCACTGAAAACTGGTTAAGGTCTCCAACTACTTTCTTCCCTTCCCCATCCCTCTTCTCCTCACTTCTCTCCTCTTAACCTCCCCCATCCTCCACATGGGAGGTCTACATGGAGTTCCTGGCTCGTGGCTTCAGCCTGGCCCAGTCGTCCCTTTTGTGGGCATTTGGGGAATTAACCAGCAGGTAGAAGATTTCTTTCACTGTTCTAAATAAATATTTTAAAAGGTAATAATTATGGCTATGCTAACAGTTACTACATCTTGGGCCCAGCTCGATGGCACAATGGTTAAGGTCCTCGCCTTGCACGCCCAGGATCCCATATGGGAGCCAGTTCTAGTCCCGGCAGCCCCGCTTCCCATCCACCTCCCCGCTTGTGGCCCGGGAAAGCAGTGGAGGACGGCCCAAGGCTTTAGGACCCTGCACCCGCGTGGGAGACCCGGAAGAGGCTCCTGGCTTCGGACCGGCATAGCATCGGCCATTGCGCTCACTTGGGGAGTGAATCATTGGACGGAAGATCTTCCTCTATGTCTCTCCTCTCTGTATATCTGCCATTCCAATAAAAATAAAAACAATTGCTACATCTCTTGCTTGGCAAGGAATATGAAAAAGACACTAGAGAAGAAAGTCACCAAGATCTCTTCCAAGAATGAGTGCCTAAACTAAACCTTTGAGCTTTATGCTGTAACCTCAGAGTTCCACTAGATTTTAAGCAGAGCCATGCTGTAAGCAATTTTAAAAATGAATAGGAAGGGATATGATCGTGAGTAATGAAGGTTTGTGGTGAGATACTGACCAACAGAATGGAGAAAAGAAGATAAATGAATAAGAGATATTTGAAAGATAAAATAAGACCTCAGCTAATTGGTTTAAGTCAGGAAGTGTAGCGAGGAAAATAGAAGACTAGGAAGACATCATTAAGGAAATGCGAAGGCAAGCCACAGAATGTGGGGTATTAAGAAGATATGTCAGAGATGGCCGATACCCAGAATATATAAAGAATTCTTACAACACAGCAAGGGAAAAGGCAGGCGACTCCATAGAAAAGATGGCAAACTTTTCCACAGGAAAACCACCACAGGAAGGAGGATGTTTAATCTTGTCAGTCACCAATAAAATAAATATACACATATGTGCATATGTCTTTTTTTTTTAGAAAAGATTTATTTATTTTTATTGGAAAGGTAGATATACAGAGAGAAGAAGAGACAGATCTGTCCACTGATTTATTCCCCAAGCGGCCGCAAAGGCCAGAGCTGAGCCCATCTGAAGCTACGAGCCCAGAGCTGCTTCTAGGTTTCCCATGTGGGTACAGGGTCCCAAGGCTTTGGGATGTCCTCTACTGCTTTTCCAGGTCACAAGCAGGGAGCTGGATAGGCAGTGGAGCTGCCAGGGTTAGAACCAGCAGCCATATAGGATTCCAGTGCATGCAAGGCAAGGACTTTAGCCACTAGGCTATCGCATAGAGTCCATACATCGTTTTCTAAAAAGATGTGTTTATTTTTATTGGAAAAGCAGATATGCAGAGGGAAGGATCCTCTATCTGCTAGTTCACTCCCAAAGTGACTGCAACTGGCAGGACTAAGAAAATCCAGAGCCAGGAGCTTCTTCTGTGCCTCCCACGTGGATGCAGTGTTCAAGGTTTTGGGCCATCCGTGAGTTTTTCCAGGCTACAAGCAGGGAGCAGGAAGGGAAGTGGAGCAGTTAGGATATGTACCAGTGCCTATATGGAATCTCGGCACTTTAGCCACTGGGACATTAGCCACTAGGCCACCACACTGGGCCCAGATAAATAATTAAAAAAAAAAAATTCCAGGGATGAGTGTTTAAAAAGAAGAAACAGAAATTACCCAAAGAAAGGGCTAACCCAGTTGTGCTATCTCTGTGCAGTAGAATATTAAAATAGTAATGGAAACAAGTGAATTAACAACATGGGCAGGTATCACACATTATAATAAATGAAAGAATAGACACAAAAGCATACAGACTACATGATTTTATTGAAGCAATGTTTATATTGTCTGTCATAGCAGTGGTTACCTTTCAGAGGAGGAAGAGGCAATGAGTTTAGTGTTGCTGATAACATTCTTTCCCATGGCCTGGGGTGTTTCCTGAATGTTAACTATTAATTAGGCTGTACCCTTATAATCTGAACACTTTCCTTTTTGGATTTTAATTGGAAATTTAAACTTAAGCTAAAGAATTGTAAGGGGAAGAACTGTGGTATCTGCAGTATTCTGAAATGCCAGTGGTGATTTAGACACTGATTTTTGGACCTCCAGTAAGAAAACAGGGAAGAGATAGATTTAGAAGACAAGAACCTAAAGGTGCTAAAAGGCAGCACCCATTAGGAAGGCAGAGTGAACAGCAGAGGATGGGACAGGAGAGGAGGGAAGGATGAACTTGGAGGCAGGGCAGTACCAACACTTAGGAGGATCAGAGGAAGCGAAAGACCAGTGCAGTGGCAAAAAGTCCAAGATGCAGAGAGCGGTCAGCCACCAATCACTTGAATCCTGCAATTGGGAAATAGTTGGCAGGGCAAGCATTGCAGCTCAACAGGTAGAGCTACCACCAGCAACACAGGCATCCCATACGGGCTCCACTTCCCATCCAGCTCTGCTGATGGCCTACGTGCCCATGTTCCTGCGCTTCTGCCACCCATGTGGGAGACTCACAAGGAACTCCTGGCTCCACGCTAGTCTGCCCAGCCCTGGCTGTGACGGCTGTCTCAGGAGTGAACTGGTGGATGGAAAATCTCTACTATGACTTTCAAATAAATAAATATATCTTCAAAGAGAAGGGGAGGGAGAGAGGATAGGGACCCAAATTCTTCCTGTGACGGTGCTCTGCCTCTGAGATACATTAGCTGGGAGCTAGGTCAGAAGTGGAGAAGCCATCCTGCAGACCGCCTAGTGTCAGTGTAGCCCTCTGCGACACAGCACCTGCCCCACGGCTGTAATTACTCGTTCATCTCTGCTGTCATCTTGTGGCTGAGAACTGCTGTTTGTGTTACACCCTGCGCTTCTTGACATCCCACCCAGCCATCTCACTAATCTTTCTCTTCAGGTGTCCTTTTTACCAGCCCCTGAGGTATTGGTAATCTGACCATAGTAGTGCTCTCCTTCCTGCCTCTTCTAAATAGTAAAACTCACCAGTGCTAACAACCCTAATGTTGTTTTGAATGTATGACTTATAGCTGTGTGTCTCCAGGCCAGTCTTGCTTTTGAACTGCAGATCCTTATAGAATACTGTCTAAAGCTGGCACCGCGTGGATTTTCAGGAGCATTTTAAGCTCAGCAGGCTAATTGTTGAGAACTGTGTGTGGCTTGCAGTGACGATCCAGATCTGCACGCGGCCCTTGGCAGAGAGGGAGTCCTCGGCCCCTGACACTGGCCCACAAGACTGTGGCTTGCATGCCTGTCTCAGGCGTTTCTGCTGGATCACGGACGTCTTCGGGGCTGAGGCTTTGTCGTCTTTCACTTAATGCAGTGAGATTGTTCAGCCCTGACCAAAGGTGTGTGATGTTTGTGACCTTGATTTTGGAGTGAGGTTGTAGTGGATGGCTGTAAAAGCCCAGGCAGAGCGAGCTTTGGGAACATTCGTCTCCATAGGTGGGATTTCAGGAGAGTGATGCAGTTGTCCTGAGGTTGTGTGTAACTCCCACAGACATTTAAAACCAGTGTTAGTGTCTATGTCAACCCTAAATAAACCAAGTTGGTTCTGGACTGAAGTGTGTTTTTTCTTGCAGCCGGTTGCTGAACCAATCCCCATCTGTAGTTTCTGTCTTGGTACAAAAGAACAAAACCGAGAGAAGAAGCCGGAGGAACTCATCTCGTGCGCCGACTGCGGCAACAGTGGTATGTTCCCTCCCTGTCCCCTTGGCAGTGCCTGGGCAGCAGAGCCTGTGGCTGACCGAGTCGCTGCCCTGCACCCTGCACAGCCACTCCTCCAAATCTGGTGTAAGGTACTGGGTTACGGAGTGACTGGGATGTATGGCTGAAGTGTTTAATTCAGTTCGTTCAAATTAGATCTTAGGTTTTTTTTTTTTTTAAAAGCACTTTCTGTGGCTTTGATTTTTGACAGTCTTTGTATTTTACCATTGAACATCTGCTTCATCTGCAGCAGTCAGCTGAAGTTATTGCTGATTTCTTTAATAATCAGTACTTTATCTTTCTTGATTTATGCCTTAGGCTTGATGACAAACCAAGATGATAACAGGTTTGTTTTTTGTTTTTTTTCTTTTCCTTGATGGAAACTTGCATATGTCACGTTTTGACTCTGCGCTTTAGTGAGCAGTGTGCAGTTCTGGGTCCTAATAGGTCAATTCCAGAGAGACTCTTGCTCTGTTTTAAGAACTCTGAAGAATGTAAAGACAGGCTTTGGTCATTGACTTAATTTCTAATGTTGCATTAGTGTCAGTAAGGATTTAATCCAGAAAACAGAAGCGATCCTGGATGATTCAGGAGGAAGGACTGTGTGATTGTTCAAGGGCTGAGGGACAGGCTCCAGGCTGCATAGATGGGTGTGAAACGTGCCAGCTTTTGCCCACCAGAAGACCACGCAGCTGCTTCCTGCTGGAAGAGGTGGTTGCCGGTCACCACGGAACTGAAGACTGTTCTGGCTGTGAGCTGCAGCACTGCCTCTAGGCAGCCCTGCCAGTTAGCTGCCTCTCTCCTGACCTTATTTACCATCAGAAAACTGTAGGCGGGCGACAGGCTTTGCTTCATTTCTACCTTTTGTGTGGTGGAACTCAGTTCACAGCTGGAGCACAGTTGAAGAGGATCTAAAGAGTAGATCTTTCCATTTGTCTATGTAGGAGGGTTAGGGGAGGGTGGAGACAGAGCTCAGGGCCAGGAGACTGCCCCTAGCATGATAGTGCAGCCCAGAATAAACCCTGGGTGCATTTCATAGGTAGGCGTAAATCCCAAAATTGTTAGCTAAAAATACAGTAGGATGCCATGCGGTGTGGTTATTTCCAAACTAGTTTAGTAGTTGTACCCTTTCCCCGAATGAAATTTCCTGGGAACCCGAAGGCATACACCAAAAATAAACGTGTTCTGGGTGAGGTGGGAATGAAATCGGCGTGGGGGCTGTTACAGCCTTATTTTCTAAAGAAGTTCTGTGGGTACACTGTCTTGTAAGCTAGGGAAGAGCTCTATTGGAGAATTCTTACTATGGAGGCCTTTCTCCTCTAACAGTAGAGTTAGCACTTCACTGTGTATTGCTGCAGAAGTACGCTATAGTGCAGCATCAGTGCGCAGTGGCCCCAGATCCTCACCTCCTCTGTGGGCACCCAGAGGCTTTCGTGGCAGTTCACGCCCCTGGCAGGCAAGCTGCTGCCACTGCTGCCTTCAGAGAAGCCCCTGTTCTTTGCCATGGGCATCTCTTCATGGAGTAGCCTGGCATCGGGCTTCCCCGGGTGCCAGCAGAGAGAGAGCATGGTGGAAGAGAGCCGTGGAAGTCAAGCTCCAGGTTGGGGTATCGTACTGATCACCCGTGTCAGCCTTGTTCCAGGTGAGATGGGGCCTTTCAGGAGGCCAGAGTGATGCAGGGTGACTGGAGGCTTGCTGTTAGAATAACCAAGGAAGGAAGGCATGGATGTAGCCAAGCCCATGAAAGGAGAGACCTACTAAATTGAAAACTAACGTACCTTAAATAAGCAGTGGGTGTCACATGAAAAAAAAAAATAAAAATAAAACACAAACTGTTGCGTTAAATACAGAAAAGGGCAAAAAGCTATGGAAGGGGTGGGGTGAGGGATGGTTCCCGTTTCTTAGTGTAAATTCAAAGAGCAGATTCTCCAGACAGGCAATTTATGTGAAAGAAAACTATGATAGCTTTATTATTATAATAAAAACGGGAAGATGAGAGAGCCCAAACCTAAGGACTGATGAAACTGTGCAGGACATTTGTACATTCCTGGTGGCAGTGTACGTTTAGCGCCATTTATGGAAAATGTTTTGACAGTGCGTATCAACTTGTCACACTACATGAAAGTGTTTAATTTCCCTCACCCACTAGTCTAACTTTCAGATACTTATTCTAAGGAATTATTTGACAGAAGGAAACAATCTGTAAGCATGAAATCACTCATGTTGCTGTTCTTTCCCTGTTTGAGATACTAATCCAAGTGTAAAACAGTGTAAAGTCAGTGGGATAGAATCATCTGAAGGAACATGAATATAAAATTTACTTAAAATAATTTGACAGAGCACAAGAGCTGCAGGCATTCTGTGATGACAGCCCAGCAAGAACTTGGAGCTAGACTGCCTGGAAAAGCAGAGCATGCGGATGGCTGGGCATCCAGGACAGGACAGTGGGTCAAGCTGCCAGCCGCCTCGCCATTTTCCTTCTGGGCTAGCAAGGTTCGAGTGACAGATGTACTGCTTATAAAGAGAAAATTGTTTAGGAATTGAAAGGAGAGAGCGCTTTAATCAATATCTTTTCTCACCCCAGAAAAATAAACATAGGCATCTTTTTTATAAAAGAGAAATTTGTAAATAGAAGAAAATCAATCACTTTAGTGTTGCTTTCTGTGTTACAACTTATCAGTTAAATGTTTGATAATGGGAAATGAGCAACTGGGTTATGATGATGAACTTCTCAGAGTTTAGGGCAAATTGACTACCTAAAATTTTGAAACCCAAGCTGTTACTAACACTTGGAGTAGGAATCATCTCTTCGGTTACAGTTGATTCTGATCGCAGTAAATTAAAGCACTGTATTTGGTTTGAGTTTCAGCTTGAACATCTTAAATCACAGGCAAACAACTCACTTTAAATGATTGGGTTTTTATGTACTTTTTTTTTTTAAATATTTATTCATTTTTGTTGGAAAGTTAGATTTACAGAGAGGAGGAGAGACATCTGCTAGTTCACTCCCCAATGACCAGAGCTGAGCTGATCCAAAACCAGGAGCCAGGAGTTTCCTCTGGATCTCCCATGTGGATGCAGGGTCTCAAGGTTTTGGGCTGTCCTCTGCTGCTTTCCCAGGCCACAAGCAGGGAGCTGGATGGGAAGTGGGGCAGTCCAGCAACCATCTGGGATCCTGGTGCGTGCAAGGCGAGGACTTTAACCACTAGGCTCCTTCATGTACATTTTTAAACTAAAAATAATGTGTTGTTTTTAAAATAAGAGCATAAAAGGTTATGAAGTAAAATGTAAAATCCATCTCCACCAAAATCATTGTAGCTACATTTTAAAAATGGAAATTACTGATGTAAATAGCTTTTGCTGTGTCCTTTCAGAAATAACCTGCTGTAGTTTATATTCATACACACACCTGTGTACATGCCAGCATGTGTATATGCATACACACATGTGCACAGAAATGCTGGAATGTCACCTGTATGAAAGTTTACTTTATTGGGTTTTTATAAACAATTGTGAAGAAGTGTTCTGAAATCTTTTTGGCATTAAAGTAATGGAATTGAAGTACCATATGTTGATAATAACTGTTTGCCAATCTTCCAGGACCATTTGCTTTATTTGATATTTATTTTGTATTTTTAAAAATTGACTGTTTGTACATTGTTTCTCTAGTACAGTTACAAAATGATGCTTGTTTCATTTATGAATCTTTTTCTTCTTAATAGGTCATCCATCTTGCTTAAAGTTTTCCCCTGAGTTAACGCTCAGAGTGAAGGCCTTGCGGTGGCAGTGCATCGAGTGCAAAACGTGCAGTTCCTGTCGAGATCAAGGCAAAAATGCAGTGAGTGTCCTTGCTTCCCAGTGTGTGGGTGTTCATGGGCACAGGATGCACACCCGGCGTTTCCTTCTAAGTATAACTGCTTACTTTTCAGTCACCGGTAGCCTCCTTCATTTACACATTATATAGTTAGAATCATTGCTCGGTGAGACCTGGATTGTTTTTGGGTAATTTATAAAGAGTCTGACTTTAGATTCCTGCTGAGAAACAGTTACTTTCAGGAAATCCTCCTGGTATGTTTTGCAGCATATGGAGGCTTGCATCAGGAGTGGTCTGTTAGTACATTAATTACAGTTCTACCTCTAAAATTAAAACTCACCAGGTTGATCTTATTTCTGCTTGCTAAAAGTTCTTGGAAGTAACGAGACTAGTACTTTATCCAAAGAGCCAAGGAAGCAACATTTCTTTCTCAGACTGAGTGCAAATACAGCAGCTTCATATTTTGGTAGCCCATCTCCTTCTTCGATGTCAATGAGGTTTATGAGGTTGTGCTCCTGACACCTGTGTGTTCCTAAGGCTATGCAAAACTGTCCTTCCCTTCCTCCCTTTTTCAGGATAACATGCTCTTTTGTGATTCGTGTGACCGAGGCTTCCACATGGAGTGCTGTGATCCACCACTTACACGAATGCCAAAAGGTGCGAAGTCTTTTTGGAAATAGTTTGGGAATGTGAAAGAATGTGTTGGTGAAAGCATGCATTACGCCTCATCTGATGTCTTCAAGTGCTGCCTTCCTCAAGGGGGAGATGAACATTCATTGGCTCATGACAAGTGTCTGCTCAGCACAGTCGAGGGGCCTAGAGCTTGATAGGTGTAGTTTATCAAAACTTCAGATGTTATTTATTAAAATAAGTTGTGAGAAAACAGGTATGCAAATTGTAGAAGTACAACTTAGTGTGGTGTTACTCTTTTTACTCCTGTGCTAGAAAATGTAAATCAAAGCTATCCCTGGCTTTGGCTGAACTTTTCATGGAGTACCAGCTTGGGCTCTAAAAGAAAAATTGCAAATTCCATTCCAACTCTGTTTTGTGCTTCCTGGGTTTCTTGAGTAAAATGCTTGTGGGATATTTGTAATGTCTGTGAGGAGAACTTTCTAGTTAATGGAAAAGAACTCAGCTTAGGTCACATTGGATTCTTGAGTTACTCTTAAGCCATTCTGTTCATTCTTACCTTTTGAAAGTCTTAAATTTATACCTAGTGAAAGAATGAGTTACTAACCTTTTCATTTAAAGTTAGGCAGAAGGCCTTCTGCAACTCCTTCAAGATGAAAAAGATTTCCTTAGGGTTTTTCCCCCTTTGTATTTATCTCCCACAAAAAAAGTTTTATAGCCACTTAAAGCAGGAAACAATTTATTTTAAAATTATTTTATGATGACAGAAAACTGTAAAAATCATACCCAAAATAAGCTCTGCTTATATTTTTAATCCAGGCTCTCCTAGTGTTCCCACCCTATAAACCACAGTTAGCTGTAACCCCAGGGTTTAGCATTGCTGGGATCTAGTTCGTTGACCTGGTGTCTGGCCTGGTATTCAGTCGGGAGCTCACAGTTTGCCACATGACTGCCTTTGTTTGCTCCAGCAGACTTCATCATTGCTGCTGGCCTTGACACTTTTGAGGAATGCTGGTCAGTTACATTATAAGAAGCCTCTCAACTGAGGTTTGTCTGTGGCTGTTCCATGCTTAGAGGCTCTTGACTTTGACCATGACACACCAGTGCTGTGCCTCACAACAGGGATGTGTGATAGTGGTAGGCCACTTGGCTGGTGATCATTGATGACAGTGAAGAAACCTAACAGACATCCCAACTTACTCTTTCTTCCCATCACCAATTAACTTTAGTATCTATGATTTGTAAAAACAATATTTTTTATTTGAAAGGCAGAATTAAAGAGAGAAGGAGAGACAGAGAGAGATCTACTATCAGTGGATTCACCTTCCAAATGGCTGCAGCAGCCAGAACTGAGCCAATCCAAAGCCAGGAGCCAGGAGCTTCCTCCGGGTCTCCCACATGGACACAGGGGCTTAAGGACTTGAACCACCCTCTGCTGCTTTTCCCAGCCATAAGCAGAGAGCTGTCTTAGAAGTGAAGCAGCTGGTACTCAAACCAGCGCCCATGTGGGATGCCTGTGCCACAGGCAGAGGTTAGCCAGCTATATCACCATAGTGACCCCTGTGTTTCTTTTTCTTTTGTAAAGATTTGTTTATTTGAAAGGCAAAGTAGCAGAGAGGGGTAGGGAAATAGATTTTCCATCTGCTTGTTCTCACTCCTCGATATGGCTACATTGAGCAGGCCTGGACCAGGCCAAGCTGGGATGCTGGCATCACAGGTGGTGGCTTAACGTGCTGTGCCACAGTGCTGGACCTGTTATTATTGAGATGTTTCCATACTGGTGATTTTCTCTTTTCCTCGAAGTGTGTTTGTTGGAATTCTGCTATAAGGGAGACCTAATCCTGTTTTCTTGTGTATTTTTGCTTTAAGAAGTCTGATACCGTATGGACTTACCAATATTTATCCAGGGGTTAACATTCATTACTCATATATATATATATGAATATATAAATGTATAAAAATATATATATAAATATGTATATAAATATATATATTTAAGGTTTACTTAGTTTCTTTGCAAAAGCAGATTTACGAAGAGAAGGAGAGACAGAAAAATACCCAAATATCCAGGACTGGAGCTAGACTGACCTCCTGCAGGTCTCCCAAGGCTTTTAGCCATCCTTTGCTTTCCTTTACACTGGGCTCATTGCTTGTTTGCTTTTTTAATTTACTTATGTAGCTTAGATTGTCATTCCGTATTTGGCTGTTGGGAATTTTTCATGTTGACATCTGTGTCCCTTTGACATACTTCCTTTATTTTTGAATGCTTAATTTTGGCATTATGAAGTGTTTCAATCTATCTTACATTTCTTACCTTTTTCTCCCCCTAAAGTAGAATCAAACATTACTCACTGGAGTAATGATTTCTTTCTTTTTTTTTTTTTCCCCCATTACTTACTTGTTTGGAGGATGAGAGCAAACCCTCCTACACTGATGCATTCCACAAAGGCCCACACCAGTGGGGCCAGAGCTGGGAACAGGGATTCGATCCAGGTCACTCTCGTGGGTGGCAGGAATCCAGCTCCTGGAGTCCTGCATACCATCCAGCACGCCAATTCACTAGGCTCAGGACCTGGCCCTAGAACAGAACATTTTTGTAAGATCTGTTTATTTGATAAAGTGAAAAAGAAAGAAAGAGAGCTTGCTCTTTCATCTGCTGGTTCACTCCCTAAATGCTTGCAATGGCCAGAGGTAGACTAGGCCAGAGACAGGAGCCAGGGACTCTCTGGGTCTCTAACATTGGTGGCAGAAACCTACATCATCAACTGTTCCCTGGACAAATGAGCAGAAGCTGAACTGGAAGCAGAATGACTGGGACACAAGCTGGTGCTCTGCCGTGGGACACAGGTGTCCCAAGCAGCACCCGAACCCTGGGGCCCTCCCCAAGCAGAGCTTGCCAGCCTAATGTTAGTGGCCTTTATCCATTTGTGCTAGAGGGGACATGTGCAATTGTGTGTGTGTGTTTTAATAGATATTTTTGTGGGAAGCTAAGATCCTGAGTTAGACTGCATGAAATCATTCAATGTACTGATTTCTGCTGCACGTTTTTTTGAAATTTTATTCATTCATAGGCATGTGGATATGTCAAATATGTCGGCCTAGGAAAAAAGGACGGAAACTTCTACAAAAGAAGGCAGCACAGATAAAACGGCGCTATGCTAATCCAATAGGACGTCCAAAAAACAGGTTAAAGAAACAAAACACGGTGTAAGTTGTTCTTGTGGCAAGGTGAGGGGAGAAAAGGATAGGGTTCTCTCTATCATGGAGGACTTGTTTGTTCTCATTGTTCTGCAAGCAGTGTTTTCTTGTAGCACTGACCAAGCCCTGTAGAAAGTGCAAGGTGCTATGCTCAGTGCTCCTGGGCAAGCAGCTCAATGAAGTACAGGCCCTCCTCTTATCAAGGTCTAAGAGGTTAACTTGGGCAAGATTGTATAGTTAAGGTGGAACTGGGATTAAAACCCACTGAACCTTGCACTGAAGTCTAATTCTGAACCCTTGTCTTACAGTGCTTCTTTCATATAAAAACAGAAAATATAAATGTACGTTTTAGTAGCATTTCTCAGGTTCTTCTCCTGATCCAGTGTCTGTTGTTTGTATTATTAGATATACAAATCAATGGAAGCATTCTTCTTACATGATAGCCAAATCTCACTTTTGTGTTCTCTTGATATAAAATAATTGGAATGTTTTAATCTATTAGCAGAAATCAAAAATTGTGGACTAGGAAACTAGGCTGTGTCTGGAGGAGATGGTGCAGGATTCAGTAGCTAGTTCTTCTGTATTAATACCTGTCTAGACTTCATCTTTGATGCTATATAAAATGTCTCCAGGCCTGTAAACCTCTTTATTCTCAAAAATGTTATTTATTTATGTTCTCTGTACATAAGCTGATCTTGAAAATAGTGTAACTGACCTGATGAGTAGGAAATAACAGTCGGAAATGCACAGAACCGGGGTTGGGGCTGTCTAATGCTCTTTGGATCACTCACTCTGGGCTGGGCAGGTGTGTAGAGTGCCTCTTGAGGCGGTGCAGAAATCACAGCCTTGCCAGCCTCACTCCTGGCCAAACTTGGGGCCTCTCGGCTTGGACTCTTGTCTTCATGGGGAGGCCTGTGCGCCTGGAGGCTGTGCAGTTGGCCTGAGATGCACAGCTTACAGCAGGATTGTGAATCAGAAGTGTCTTTTGACTTATAACCTAGGGTTTGTTTACTGAAACAAATATTCCTGACAATATTCTCTTTCATATCTGGTTTTTTATTTATAGAACATTCTTTATGTGTATGTGTAAAGCTATAGATTATTTTTAAGTGATATGTTATTGATTAAGTGGAAACATTATAAATGTCTTTTTTTTTTTTTAATCATTAAATTTTTTCTCTGTTTTGATTGTTTAGGTCAAAAGGTCCCTTCAGCAAGGTTCGAACTGGCCCTGGAAGGGGACGGAAACGGAGACTCACTCTCTCGGGCCAGTCTGCGTCATCCTCAGAAGAAGGTTATCTAGAGCGGATAGATGGCTTGGACTTCTGCAGAGAGAGCAATGCGCCCCTCAAGTTCAACAAGAAAACCAAAGGGCTCATCGATGGCCTTACCAAATTCTTCACCCCCTCTCCCGACGGGCGGAAGCCCCGGGGGGAGGTGGTAGACTACTCGGAGCAATACAGAATCAGGAGAAAGGGCAGCAGGAAATCGAGCACTTCAGAATGGCCCGCAGGTAACAGTTTGATACAGTTTTCAAAAATGTATTCTTTGGAAAAGCACTCACAATCTAGAACAGGTTACATTTTATTATAAAGAATAATAATAATTGACTGTGTGCATTAAAGGTGTATTTGTAGATGACACTAACTTGGTAGCTGTGGCAGTGATTTAGAGGCAAGTGTTATAATCCGCTGCTGGTTGCTTGCCTTATTCCAGGAAGGAATTGGAAAGATTGGAGCTGGGTAAGGTGCTGTTATCTGGAATGTATTTAAATGTGATGAGGCACTGAATTTTCTGCTTCAGATCTTGGCAGACATTTTTGTTAAGTTTTCACGGAGTGTGTTGGGGTAAGAGTTAGGGAGAAATGAGCTGTTACAGTGTATTTGCTGTGTTTCTGGCAAGTTCCCTAGGCTTGAACGTGTAAAACATCTGGAGGGGGCTTAATAGTGTAGCAGGCAATTCAAGTTAAAGAAGAATTCATTTAGTTATACAGATATTTAAGACTGAAAGAGCCTTGTTGCTGAGCCCTAAGTGTGGAGGAGCTGACTCGGAAGTGGGGCAAATCTCAGGGGAGCAGTGTGGCAGTGTGACTCACCAGCTCCAGCACACCCCCTGGGCCCTGAGGGTGTTCACTGCCCTGCTTGCTGCTGCTCACAGTGCCGGTGATTGGTCCAGAGCAGGAGAGTTCAAAGTGGCACTCAGTTCATTACTCTTAAGGATTTAAGACTTCTCATGTCTCCTCAGCCATTGGGCTGTAGGTAAGCTCCACGGTGAGCTTGTCTGAGAAAATTTGTAGTCAGTTTTAGTTGGTCTTAAAGGAAAGAATCTCAAAGCATTTTCTAATAAAAGACATTTTTGACCTACCCATTTGTATTAGAGATTAGAAAAATCTACTAGCAATTTTTAGCAAATGAAATTGTTAAGGCAAATGTGTAGCATGTTTGAGAACCAGTATTAAGCTGGTTTCTGCTTTTGCTATAGCAGGGTAAGCCATTGTGTGAATTCACACACCAATTTGTGCGTCATGTTACACAGTGCTAACAAGTGCTGTGCTAGACCTGTGCCTGTAGGCATTAGTGTCCTGCACTAGGGGGCATCGGACATGCGGAGTTAAGCCACCTTTGCATTCAGCTTGCACTTCCGTTTGGGAATATTGCCTTGTGCTGTTGGTGCTGAGCACAGAACGCGACGTGTGACGAGCTGGCAGTGACTGGAATGCTCAGCCTACACTCTCGGCAGTCAGCAGTGTTGTCTTCAGCCATGGGAAATAGACTATGCTTCTTGGGCTTCTTCTGTTCTGCCTGTTAGAATGTGATCTTGTAACAAGTTGAAAGTTGGTTCTGTCATACTTTTAGGGAGCTTTAAGACGGTGCAGGGTTTTCACAAGAAGGTGAATTTATATGCAAATATTATTAGTAATCTGTTTCTAGGAGGGCTTTTAAATGCTATCTTGTGCCGGGGGGGGTGGGGGTTAAGGTCTTCAATTTAAAATGAAGGCTTCAGAAGTTTGTCCTAGTTCATTATTCCCCTAAGGAAAGTACAAGTAACATACCAACCTGCTCTGTGTGTGCAGACAATCAGGATGGCTGGGATGGCAAACCGGAGAGTGAGGAGCGGCTCTTTGGGAGTCAGGAGATCATGACCGAAAAAGACATGGAATTGTTCCGTGATATCCAGGAACAAGCACTGCAGGTAAGGTTGGGTGTTGTGGTGGGTCGCCAGGCGGCTCATGATGATGAGGGGTGAAGCAGCAACAGCAGTTCATCTGTATGTTCTGAGAAGAGGTGTGGTTTTGGGGTGTGTGTACTTCTGTGGTTATAGTTTTCCTTTCAGACCCATAGCTTCTTTGCTTTTTCAGGTAAACATGTTGCTTTGACATAGTGTTAAATAAACTTCTCTTATTATCTGTCTTACTGAGTGAAGAAATTGGGATTTAACCAAAAGGCAAATGAAAAATAAGCTTGTGAGTAGTAAACTCCTATATTCATTACTTCAGGAGCTGTTTATTCAAAGCTTTTGTCTTAATCCATTGCGATCCGCAGGGAAATATAAATGTACTTGCAGAGTGCCTGCAGAATCATCCCTGAGGCATAGACTGGGAGAGACCTGTCAGTAACAAGCACTGTGAGCAGCTCAGTGAGAGAGGTCAGAGAGGACTCACTGCGGGATCTCTCGAGGGCTGCGGTAGGGTCCCCTATCAGCAGAAGGACTTGAAGGAAAATGTGCTCAACTGTGCATGTCAGTGGTTTAGGATCAAGAACAGTAGGGAGCTTGATTATAAAGATTCTTCTAGGTTATGTTTATATTTTGCCTGTTCCTTGTTTGCAGTCAACAACTCACTATGTGAGCCATGTTGAACTCTCTTACTGTGAAAGGGTGAGAGTTCAAGTTAGGTCAATCAAACTCTGATTAAGAGATTCATCAGTGAATAGACTGTTTCTGTCTGTCGTCATGTTAGTACTTTGCAGGGGGTAACAGCAGTGTAAGTATTCAATAAGCATCTACTCCAGTATTCTGCCATATTATCATTTAACAAAATATTAACTTCAAGTTGGATGGATTTAGGTCCTTAGTCAGCAGTTACTGAAGCCAGGAGCCCAGGCCTCCGTCTAGGCCTTCCATGTAGGTATTAGGGATTCAGTTCCTTGAGCCGTCACCACTGCCCCCAGTGGCTGCATTGTCAGAGCTGAATCAGGAGCCAGCACCAGGGGGAGCCAGGCACTCCCTGAAGGGATGCGGGTGTCTTAACCACTGGGCTAGACTCCTCTTCCCCGGGCTTGCGGCATGTTCTCTGGTGCCCACAGCTCATCCTCAGTGCGTCCTGTCAGGAGGCAGATAACGTGGGGCTTTTCAGTGCAGGTTCTGCAGCCTTGGACTGATTGAGGCAGCATTCTGCAGTATTACTTAACTGTAAAATTATTTTCTATTGTTTAGTATCTTGTGGGATATACTTACTTTTTATAAATGTTTACATTGTTTTTTATATATGTTTACATTGTTTTTATATATGTATTGATTGTCATTTTGCTGAAGGGAAGAAATGGTTTTCTTTGGTTGTACTTATTTTGTTTAAACTGAGTGGTCTTCATATTTATTTTGATTCTGAAGTTCCCAGATCGTGCAGGGAGTGGCTTCTGTATCTTTTTGACATGTGTCTGTCATTTGTATTTGCTTCTGGACATAACAAGTTGTTTGCCCCTGCAACTCTAGTCATAGATCTTCATTCCTTTAGTGGAGAAAAGTAAATGGCTGTTCTCTCCTTGAACCAAAGACTTTCTTTCTCTCTCTCTCTGATACTCCATGTTCATTCCTTCAGCAAACTCTAATGGCTTTGCCTTCAGCGCATATCTGAAACGTGACTGCTTCTTACCACTTCAAGCCACATCATTGCTGACTTGGGCTGTTGTAACAGCTTCCAGATTAATTGCCCTGCTTCTTTTGCCCATCACGTCTAAGCTCTAGTCTTACACAGAACCCAGAGCAGCTATTTCTGAATTAAGTTGGATTGTAGTGCTCCTCTTAGAATGCTTTCCTCTTTTTCCATCTGCTTGGAAAACAAGTCTTAGGCCTCGTCTCCAAAGATCTGTGTGGTATGGTGCCCACTTTACTCATTGGCTGCCCTCCTGGGAGCCTTCATTTGGAGCACACCCCAGCCCCAGGTCTTGGTGCCTGCCCCCCCCGTGTCTGGTGTGCCTTCTGCCTTCTACATCCCTAGTTGGCTTACTACTCTCAACACACAGATCTCTGGGCATGACATGTCAGCAGAGGCCTTTCCTGACACTTGAGCTAAGACAGCACATTTTTACTCCCATCGTATCTTTTTTTATGTGTATAAAAGATTTACTTATTTTTACTTGAAAGATACATTTACAAAGGAGAGAGATACAGAGAGCTTCAGTCCTCTATTTCCCTCCCCCCAGTGGCCACAAGGATCAGCACTGAGCTAATATGAAGCCAGGAGCTTCTTTGGGATCTCCTTTGTATCAGGGACCCAATCCCTTGAACCATCTTTTATTGTTTTGCCAGGCCAATACAGGAAGCTGGCTCAGAAGTGGAGCCGCCAGGGGCCCGGCGGCGTGGCCTAGCAGCTAAAGTCCTTGCCTTGAATGCCCGGGATCCCATATGGGCACTGGTTCTAATCCCGGCAGCTCCCCTTCCCATCCAGCTCCCTGCTTGTGGCCTGGGAAAGCAGTTGAGGATGGCCCAAAGCTTTGGGACCCTGCACCTGTGTGGGGTACCCGGAAGAAGTTCCTGGATCCTGGCTTCAGACTGGCATAGCATCAGCTGTTGCGCTCACTTGAGGAGTGAATCATCGGACGGAAGATCTTCCTTTCTGTTTCTCCTTCTCTCTATATATCTGACTTTCCAATAAATAAATGAATCTTTAAAAAAAAAAAAAAAGAAGTGGAGCCACCAGGACTTGAACCAGCACCTGTATGGGATGCTGACACCACAGGCGGACACTTAGCGTGCTGTACTACAGTGCCAGCCTCCCATCATATCTTGCTTTTCTCTTTACCTGCTTGCTTCTTCTGCAGACTTTTTGCCACCATTTAAACTTTATTTCTAGAATATAAGTGTATTGAAAACAGGATTTTCTTTTTTGATCATTCTTGTGTTCTGAGTACTTGGAATATAGTCAAGTCTCACTAAATAATTGTTTAATTAGATTTTTAGCATAGCAGCGTGGGGCAGGTATTGAAATAACAGGAGCATGGAGCAAAAGGTGATTAGTGTTAGGGGTGCTGTCACTGCTAATGCCTGATGCAGACGAAGTAGGTTTATATGGACGAGAATTGGGCTAACTGTATATTTCCTCTGGCATGTTATGAAATTTGTGATTATCCATATTTATTACTGGCACCAAGGAGTAAGCAGCTAAATACTAAATTTGTGCCTTTTTAAAAAGATTTATTTACTTTTATTTGAAATGCACACTTACAGAGAGAAGGAAAGACAGAAAGAGAAGAGATCTGCCATCCACTGGTTCACTTGCCAGAGCTAATCTGAATTCAGGAGCCAGAGGTCTTCTGGGTTTGCCACATGGGTACTGGGGCCCAAGAAGTTAAACTTTCTCTGCTGCTTTCCCAACCCTTAAGCAGAGAGCTGGATTGCAAGTGAAGCAACTGGAATACAAACTGGCACCCATATGGATTGCTAGCACTACAGGCAGAGAGGGTTAGCCTGTCGTGTCGTTTTCCTGGCACCAGTTTATAGTTTAATTGGTTGTGCATTAAAATTCTGATGATAGAGATAATTCCACAAGGGTCATTCATTTTAAAAATTTGTTTTCATCTAATTGAAAAACCAACACACACCCAACATAGTTAAGTGGTAGAAGAAACATCTTCCATCTGCTGGTTCACTCCACAAGTGTCTACAACCAGAAGTCTGGAACTCCATCCAGGTCCTCCACATGCGTAGCAGATGCTCAGGTACTTAAGCCATCATCTGTTGCCTCCCAGGCTGCATTAGCAGGAAACTGGATCCAAAGAGCAGCTGGCGACTGCAACCAGCAGTCTGGATTTGGGCTTGCTGAGCACCTGCTTACTTTGTCATTCCATAGCACCCACCCCTCATTTAATATTTATGTGCCTGGCTTGGTCCGTCCAGTCTGTCCGTCCTTCCTCCCTCCCTTCCTCCTCCTCCTCTTTATTTTTTAAGATGTATCTGTTTGGAAGGCAGAGTGGCAGAGATAGAGGGTTTACAGAGACCTGAAATTTTCCATCTGCTGGTTCACTCCCTAAGGGCTCCAGTGATCAGAGCTGGGCCAGTCCAAAGCCAGAAGCTTCTTCCAGGTCTCCCAGATGCATGCAGGAGCCCAAGCACTTGGTCCATCCTCTGCTGCTTTGCAGATACATGAGCAGAGAGTTATGTTGGCAGTGAAGTAGCCTGGACTTGAACGGATTCCCATACAGTTTGCCAGTGCTGTAGACAGCAGTTTTACCCATTATGTCACAGTACTGGCACGGTACTAGAGCTTTGGGGTTACTGAAAAACATAACTCTGCATTCATGAAACTTCCAGTTTTATAAGTGAGACAGACAAGCAAAAATAGAGCTTCAGGTCATAGGCTGGAAGTAAGAGCACAGTGAGTTTATAGCATGGACCTCCTGATCCAGATTGCTGCGGGTTGTGGTTGGAGGGTGTGTGAGGAGGGAGGCATTTTTTTGAGGAATAAGCAATTTCTGAAAGATGAATAAGAAGTCAACAAGGCAGAGAGCTACAAAGAGTAATGCTCCAGGCACAGGAAAACTATCTTTGCAAATCTCTTGAGGCATACAAGAAGTTAATATGTTGAAGAAGCTGAAGTTCATTAACTAGAGTACAGTGAAAAGCAGTCACATAAAATCCAACTGTGGGGGGTGGGTTGTGGTGTTGCAATAGGCTCTTCTAACCTCGCAGCTCCAGCTCCCAGTGGGACTGGCATCCCATTGGGCCACCTGCTGCTGCTTTTCCTGCTGCTTTTTCCTGAATCAGGGCTGGGGCAGCCAGGACACAAACCAGCACCCATGTGAGATGCCAGCATCATGCCATAGCACCAGCCCCACATCTCTGTTTCTTTATCCAGTAACCAATTTGTGTCTCCCCCAGTCCTTTCTCAGTCCACTCTCAGGTAACCACCGTTGTATTCTGTGAAATCAACTGTTGTTTTTTTTTAGCTTCCACATGAAAACATGCAATATGTATCT